CCTCAACGGCAGTTAAGTCAGGCCGGCAGTCCCAAACAGCAGTTAAGTTGGCGTAAGAAGAAGGGCTTAATTGCTTTGATCCCCGAGTTCAAGGGCTTATATGCATCAATTACAGTCTAGGGGCTTAATAGCGATTATGGGGTTGGTTCAGGGGCTTAACTTATGGTTTTGCCATTTAAAAAACTAAAATTTTATTGATATAAAAATCATTCAAGTTAAAATATCAATATAAATCAAAGTAATTAATATCGTATCAATATGTATATCGATTTTATTATTGAAACAGTACGTATCAGATATCGAAACTTTTTACGTACTATTTTGAATTTATCGCTATAAATATATATTTTTATAAATTAAATATTAAATTTTAAAATAAAATAAAAGATATTAATATTTAAAACTATCATATTCCTATAAATTAAAAACAAATTTAAAATGATCATTTTTAATCCATCAACTTTTAATATATGCATATTTATCGTCCATCTACTTTAAGTTAAAGGACTAAAAATGTGTATATATCGTCCATTTACTTTAAGTTAAAGGACTAAAAATATGTATATTTAAACAAATTTAACGGAGTAATTGATAGAAATATTACAAAAATATATTTTTAATAGTTGATAGATTAAAAAAGTATATAAAAATGTTAAAATATAAAAATGATGTAAAACATTAAAGTTAAGAACTAAAAATGAAATTTACTTTTTTAAAAAATTTGAATTGAATTATGCCGGTCAATTTTCATATACTGATCGGTATATAGAAATATTGGTTGATACACCAAAATTTGATCAAAATGAACAAAATTTGATCAAAATGAACAAAATTTAAACAAAACGAAATTAGACTATATATCATTTTAATTTAATAAAAAATCAATATGTGTCGACCATACCGATAAGTATGGTACAGTATCAATAACTATGTTTTTTGCATCTCAGCAACGTCAGCATTATAGATTTTAAACAGGAAATTTCTTGGATTCAAGCATGAGGAATGCCGATTAATTTTGGGTTTGGCATATATATGCCTGGATGCTATTGGCCTTGTTTTCATAAGAAGATATATACTGTTAGCCAAAGCTGGGACCCCCACGATTCTGTTTAGTCTAAACTTGTTCAAAATGTTTACGGTTAAATTCAATAAATAATTTATTAA